TGGCGAGAATAGGAGACGCATCACTCTGTAGGGGAAAAACAAAACACTGCTCAGAGTAAAAGCAGATACATGAATGTTAACCCGAGTTGAGATGAATAGTTTCCGTCTTTTTAGTACGCACGATCGAAAACAGGGTGTTTTGTTTTGTTCTCGACAGACTACTGATTGCTCTGCCGCACTGTGAACGCGAATTTTCTCGAACGTGGATCAGCGGTTCACTTTTAACTCACAGTCACTTTCTGGTAGTGTTGTACATTAGATAACATGGAGTAACGCATCGCCTCCACGCACAGTCCTTAGCAGATTGGGCGGGGGTTGGTACAAGTGGTCGTTCCTCAGGAAATGAAACCGGTATTCAAATCTCGGACGAGTATTTCGCTGAGCTATTGGAAGTGCACAACTTGCGCTTGGCGCTTTCTCGATGTATGATTGGTTGGATAAACTGAGGATGGTGCTTCGGTCCATCCAAGCATGGAGTCGTCCATGCAACGTGATGCTGAGGCGTGGACAAAGAATTGCTACCAAGATAGTCGTGGGACTCAGCTGCCTGATCTAAGGAAAGCGATTACGATCATTGAGACTGCATTCTACTCAGTACCACCGAACTCGAGGATACTTGATTTTGGTACGGCAAATTTTGCACTGCCCAATTCATCCATGCCGGCCGTTGTTCACTTTATCGCCTAATACACATGTCAGTGAACATTATTTTAAGTTACTGATTCCAAAAAGGCGATTGGACTACCGGCGTCAGTCTTTTGCATTCAGAGTGTACAATACGTGGAAAACCTTTCCATCTCAAATCGTTTATGCGTGAACTATTGAATATCTCATGCAGAGACTTGATAAAAACATGGCACACCTCACACTCCTACCCGGAACTATATGTAAAATTTATCGATCTTTCCGAGAAACGATTTAACTATAAAAATATCCTATGGGGAAGCATGAGCTCGAAAGTCATTCCCATAATAAAAATGTGACTTTGAAACTTTGACACCACAGGTGAAATCATGATTATTACTCAAGAATCATGTCGCACGAGTTCAATTATTACCTTTTGTTCCAATTTATTTCACCAATAATAGTTTAAACCCACTAATTTCCTAACTCTCGATAGGGTTAATTGCTTGCGCCTACATTGAATCTAAGGTTTTCTTCACTAGAATATATAGGTTTAGTGGGTCCATCCATGATAATTAATGAGATTATTCAACGAAATGGGATCCCCATACCAGTGGGTTTTCTTATCTGAGGATGCGTCTCTAGCCCTTACATGACCGAGCTACCGGTAGAGAACCAGGTTAATTAATTACTATAGTTTTTTGTCGGTGAACCAGAGTTGAACTGGTTACGCTACTTTCTATGGGCATGTGTTTTGTGCGTGTTTGGCCCCAGCCAGGCACAAACCTGTCCAAGGTTTCCGCCACGATAGCTCATCAGTTGAAGCCATGCCAAACTAGTCAGGTTCAACCACCTGACTTCTCTTTGTCAGATTGGTAACCTGGAAACGCTCGTGGTGGTCTACAGCGCCGCATGTTACATATTTTCCATGGCCTACCGTACGTATCTGGGTTTGGGGATTGTAATGCATCGTTCGACAGCAGGGCAATAAAGCAGCTTATAGTCTTAAACGCTGATACATAAACACACACGCCCACACACACTGCTTGTTGTGAATGGATGTTTCGTGAACATCTACTACTATCCGCTTTGTTCGAAAAACGCATATTTTAAAATATGGTCAGGCCTTCCAAAAAGACTTGTTAAATCTATTCATGTGTTCTTATTCATCTTGTGTTCAAGTTATCTGAGCTTCTGCGCAGCATTGTGGTGAATCAATCCTCCCAGATGACGCCAACCAAGCGCCTACGCGTTTCAGTTTCTGGACAGCGAACCACAGGCGAAGTGTACAGACCAATCAGAAGTCGTGCGCTCCAGACGAAAGCTGTATGACGTCAAGACTACAAACAGGCGATTGGTGGATACCTGTATAACCACAAAACTTCGTGTTATGTTATGTTATTTAATCCCATTAGTTTCTTTCAATAAACTAACTGCCACTTCTGGGGTTTTGTTCGTGAGTCTTAGTGACGGGAGATACCAGCGTGCACGTGTTAGTTCTATTCAGTGTTTCCGTAGCGTCCGTGATTTGTGGTTCGTTTACCGTAACCCGTGTCTAACTTGACTACTACAGACATATCATTATGATTGTAGATTTCGTCTAACATTAGCACTTAAAATAATTACAGAATATTTAATTGACTGGTATAGATACATATATATAACAAAGTATTAACAAATTTTTAAGCTCACCGGTTTCTACGGAATTGGGAACTTTGCAAGTTATTATCGGATCCAGAGGAATTTAATATAGGTACACTGGTAACTATGGGTAAACGCTGAAAACAAAGCACGGACTTGTGCAAATAGGTTTTGCAGGCAATAGAGCACACTTGTCTCGTAAACTTTGCCGGAGGCATGGAAAGGGATGCGCCAT